TGCTGAAGTTGCAGCAAGAAGTTTGCATCTTTAATAACCTACGACAGTTCGCGTCCATTGAAAAGACAGAATGAATAAATCTATATGAAACAGTCTCTTATAAGTGACGTCGCATCTTCAGTTTTGGGCTCAGGCGCCCTTTGCACTCACACTACAAGCGTATACCGCGCCAAAGGCCAAACAAACTGTGCTCTGGCACACCTCTTCCAACCGGGCCAGGGCTGGCCAACTGAATTGCGCCAGAGCCTGATTCGGAGCACTGGCATGATTCGGATAGCATAGTTTGAGTACACCCTAGAACGAGGAAATAAGATAAATTATGAAAATTGTATCTAAGTTTGTTATGTAATAGTGTAAATAGCTATTAAACTTGTACAAAAATAGAAATTAAAATTTCTATAGCGATAAATGCTTTGAATTTTATTTGTCAAAAAACATGTAAGAATATTAGATTTTTATTAATAGCTGTTGTCAACATAAGATGAAACCATGTGCATCAAATCAGCATATCAGCTATAAAAGAATTGACTTCAATAATGCTGGCTTAAAAATTCTGCCTTTTGCCATCATCGTATTAAAATACATTTTAAAATGTTTTGAAAAATATCTTTAAAATGTTCAGAGCTGTGTATCGGAAACATTTCAAATGTACACAAAAAAGAGCAATGCGTTGTATTCTAAGACGAGTTTCAAGTTCAGTAAAAGCCTTGTTTTGTCAGCTCAGTCACCCACAGGTGCAATCAGCAGCCCCTCTAGAAAAACACTTTTGCTTATTTCACACTTGCAAGACGTGCAAATGGTAATTTTGGCGGCACAGTCAGATTTCCTGTTCATTCAACAGCTTGAGCTGAAAATCACTTCAAATTATTTTGTAGTGTGAGTGAATGTGGGAAAGTAAATGCTAGACATGTTAACTTATGTAAGGTTTAACATTGAAAGAAATTTCACTACACATTTTTTTTTTTTTTTGCAAATAAAACAAAACCAAATTACTTGCATTACTTGCAATAGTATTTCAGCTTTTTTACTTCAAAATATCATAATTTAATATGTGGCTGTATATCTTTATATTTTCTCAAGCTTACTATCAAACATCATTTGCTCCAACATTTTAACTGATTTCAAATTTTTTTTAGTATATATGCAAAATAAATGTATTGGCTTGTATGTTTAGACATTAGTCTCACTTCACATTATTCCATTTCAAAAGGTCAGTGTGTTAAATGCTGCAACAAGAGCTAATGAATTAGCATACCTTCCATAAAACACTCTGAAGGTGATGGGTACACAGGGTAACATTTAGAGCAATGTTGCTGGGCAACTTGGGCTTGTTGCTGGGCAGTGATGTTACCAACGGGCAACCGAGTGAAAGACACAGGGCAACTAATTAAAGCAACCATATCCTAATCTCAGTAGCAAAGTAGCCAAGCAACATCTCTCTCCAATATTGCCCAGCAACATTGCTCAATAGGTGTCCTATGTAGATCCTTTTTGCCATTTATGTAACAACTCTGCACAATATGCATACGGTCGGGAATTTCCCCAAATTTCATTATCCTGGTCCAAGGTACGAGACTAACTATCAGATCAATGAAAACTCTGATCCAAACTGAGGCATTTCTCTTTCTCCTGCTGGACAATTCATCACTCTCTTTATCCATCAGCCAAAAAAGGATTCTGTCCATTGTTATAAAAAAAAATAAAAAATGGCTGGATCTATGTACAGTTGATCATTTTTTGGCAACTCTACTTACTGGACATTATAAGTAAACTGAAAATAAATAACTTTAAGATTTACTTAAAAAAAATTCTCGTAACAATTTGCACTAACAAATTTTAAGTAAATTTTGCATTCTTATATCAGATACAATTAACTTGTCAATAACTTGTAAAGTTTTATGTTTAATCTAACACTCCTAAATTACCCAAGTAAAAGTTTATTGATTATCTTTCATTTTGATTCTATATTTATTCAAATTAATTAAGTTCCTGTTTTAGCAAAAGGAACACTGCTTTTTAAAAAATAAATCTTATTAGTTACAAATTAGTACATCTGGCATAACTTGTTTAATTAAACACACATTTACACTGACTTTCAATTAGTTATTTCAGTTTAGTTTAAACAAATTGAACTCGAGAGCAAATTTACTTTAAAAATCCTTACTGATCTCAAAATTTGCGTTAGCATAGCTATGGCTCTTTGAGTGAAGCATCAAACATTGTTGAAAAAATGTCATGATCCAAATCATGAATGTTACTCTTCTGAAAGGTGCTAACTGCAAAACTAAAAACACTCAAAACTAATGATGATTAAACTCTAACAAGTCTTTCTCTCAAATTGAAACACCTAAGATTGCTTTTATTTTTATAATATCCTACTCTTAATTCAGTCACATGCAAAGCATTCTGTGAACTACACATCCATTAGACATATCAAATATTAAAATTTATTTAATATTACTAAGTTGCAACAATTAAAAAAATATTTAAATATTACGAGTAAATGAATATTTATATATTCACTCATTTCATATATTTCATAAAGTAAATGTGTAAATATTAATTTCTAGTTATCCTTGACACTTAACATTACAAGTCAAAACTTTTGAGAGTAAATTTATTAGATTTTACCACACTAAAAAGTAATTTTTAAAAAATGTATGGAATAAACTGCAGCCAAAGTGAATAACGCAAGCAAGAAAACTGTACGATTTTGGTCAATATAAGACTGTATCATGTTTCAATTCTAATTTTGTACCTATTTTTGCATTATTTCTGTTTTTATTATATTTCAACTTTGTTCCCTTTCTTTTGTTATAAAGTTAACCCAAAAATAAAACTTGCCTCATGTTTCTTTACCTTTAGGCTCTGTTTTACCTGGTGTTAGGATGCATGTTTGTTAATCCAGTTTCAAGTGGCAAGACAGCGCGTATGAAGCATTTCAAGTTTGTCATATTTCAAACACTTTGCTGAAATAATCCAAACGCAATCACCTGATTTGCTTTTATGTGGTAGAAAGCTTCAAAAGACCACCTACTCTCATCCTAATTACATAATATGTTGCTGTCTAAAACTGTCAGCTTTTGAAGTGTTGCATCAATCAAAAGCAGCTTCTCACCATTTTCTGTTGTCTTCATTAATGTTCAGACAGTATTTAAAGGGCATCTATGATGAAAATCATCTTTTGGAAGCTGTTTGGACGGAACTGTGTGTAGGTATAATGTGTCCACAGACATATTGGAGTGATAGAAACACAATAAGTCGCTTTTTTTTTTTTTAATTTCCTGATGTTAAAATAGAATCCAAATCCCTCTCATTTTGAGGCCCAATGCAACATGATGAGTTCGATTTCCCCATCCCATTAAATTGATTGACAGTCACATATTCAACAGCCAGCATGTTTTTTACTGTAGTAGTAGGGAAAGTTCTTACTGTTTACACTGCAAGTTAAATGCATCCCAATTCTGATTTTTTTTGCTCATATGTGACATAGATTGGATCTGTTCTATGACAGTGTAAACACACAAACACACACACACACACACACACACACACACACACACACACACACACACACACACACACACACACACACACACACACACACAAAACGCATCCATTCAGATATTCAGAGATCAGTTTCAGGCCTCCTTCATGTGGAAATTAATCGGAAATTTAACGATGCGACTATCATGTAAACAGGCAGATCGGATTTATTGAGCCATTCCATTTTTGACATGATTAGACATTCAAAAATGTGTTATTTCTCTGTGGTTTAATGGTGTAGAAGGAAGAGCATGTAGAAGAGTAAAGTGGTCAGTCCCCACAATTCGCTCTCACCAAACCTGAGCTCTCTCTTGCACTCACAAATTCCTTTGAATGGTAAAGGACATAGGCAACAAATCAAAATTGGGCATCAAGCCTGACAGTGGAATGTGGATACAATGGGCAGGGAGATCTAGCATTAACCTCCTAGGGCTTAGTGACCACACACGTGGACAGCACATTTTAGCTTAGTGGCTATTTAAAATATTTGAATGTTTTATAGTGTTACAGACATACAGTGCCATATGAAATGTCCTAAACAATATTTTTAACTGTCCAAAATGGGAAAAAAATAGTTTTTACTCTCTAAAACAGTCAAGAAAGTGTTATTTATGTAAATTCGGACCACAAGTTCAAATATATGGACATCATTTTTCAGTACATCATATCAAAAGGTCATACTTAGGTTTTTTTTTCTAATTAGGTTCCAGTAAGCCCAAATAGCAAATATAAATAAAAAATACATGTAAAAAAACACCTAGGGCCTAAAGAGGTTAAAGCACAGGCAATAAAAACAGCTACATAGTGTTCAAAGCAGAAAATCCCTAATTCTAAAAGGTATAATAAGTAATCTGATGGGTGTTGTGAGCTGAAACTTTACAGACACATTTTGAAGATTCAAGACTTCTCTTACATCTTGAAAAAGGGGTAAAACAGGTGCCTTTTAAATTTCATGTTTATTTCACATTATTAAATCAAAGCATTAAAATGATCATCCACGCCTGTCTATAGATGTGTGTGTCTTCAAAGTGAAGAAAAGAGAGGGGCTAAAACACCAAATGCAGTCAAAATCATCCATCGACCATACCATAGAAAACATTTTCCACCAAACCCTTGATTCTGAGTGATGTAAATGACTGCAACTGAGGGAGAGACAGAGCCTAGACTTTTGATTTCTTGAGGAGGAATTTGTAAGTATGTCAGAAAGATATGCAAGACCATTTAAAGGCTTAAACGCTTGTAGTATTACTTAAATTTGTATTACATCAAAATTTACAGTGAAGATCGTGCAGTTGAGGAATAATGTGAGCAGAATGCCTGGTAGTAAGAACTCTTTCAGCTGAAACATCAAGCTCGCAATACATTTTTAGGCAGACCTACAGGTATCATAGAGGTATAATGTAATGAATGAGTGGGATACATTTTTGAAAGCAGTCCTCTGTGTTTCTCTGCAGGTCTGGGTGGAGCGTGTGGTTACCTGATTGGAGCCATGGACTGGGGTCACTCCGCTCTTGGCTCCATTCTGGGCTCTGAGTACCAAGTCATCTATTTCTTTTCATCTCTGACCTGGGGCATTTTTCTCACCACGCACCTTTTCAGCATCCCAGAGAAGCCACTGATGAAAGAGCCCAGCTCAGATTCCTGTCCCTCCGCCTCGCTGCTCCCTGAAGGCCCGCTTCAAAATGGCTACGGCTCCGTGTGTAAAGAGCCAGTGTCTCTTTCTAACGTGAGGGAGCGCACCTTCTCTGTCCTGAGTGAAGCCAACGCTGTTACGCCCAGTGCCAAACAGCCCAACAGCGAGGTTGGTCATTTGTGTTACTCTCAATCCTTTTCATGCTTTTCTTATTCTTGGCTTCAGTCCTGCACATTTTAATGACCCATTTCAGAACTGCTATAGAGGCAGGCTTTGTGAGCTATAATTAGGCTGGATGTTGCTCATCATGCCTCTCTCTGAAACTCGCATTTTTATGGATGAATCAAAATGAGTTCTTAGTTGTTGTTGTTTTTTTTTGGTTTATTAATATTAAAGCGTAACGTCTAGTTTTGTTTATGGTGTGATGGTGTAATTATTCATTATGGGCGTATTGTTTGTGAGGGGACTGTGAAGGTCACATATTCTCATGGCTAAACAAAAAAATCCACACGGTTTTCAAAGTTCACACTGTGGATTACTAGTTAATTAAGTTAGACAAGGCTCAGGTTTAGCATTTGCTATTTATAGTTTGGGATTTTAATATACTGTGAGGGTTTTATTATTAGATAATTAATACTATAATATAGTGAACATTACTTTATTGTTCTACTTATAGCATAATAATTTTATCAATTTAGTGATTCAAATTTTGGTAATATAAATTGGTATTATTGTTATTGTTGTTGTTGACAAAAAACTATATTGCTAAAATTATTTATCAAATTATTTAATACTACTACTATTACTACTACTACTACTACTACTACTACTACTACTACTACTACTAATAATAATAATAATAATAATAATAATAATCATACATCTAAATTATAATTATATGATTATGATTATTTAGTGAACAATACTTTAATATTCTATATATAGCATAATCATTTAAAAAAATTAATATTTCATATTTTGGTAATATATTTTTTGCTATTATTATTATTATTATTATTAATAATAATAATAATAATAATAATAATAATAACATTTTGCCAAAATTATTATTCAAATTATTTAATAATAATAATTATCAATTTTATTTTTATTATAATTATTATTATAAATATTATTATTATAATAACATTAGTGTATAATTATTATTTTGTGAACAATACTTTATTATTCTTCAAATAGCATAATAATTTTAATAGTTTAATCATTCATATTTTGGGAATATAATTTGTTGTTTTTGGTATTATTATTATTATTATTATTATTGTTGTTGTTGTTGTTGTTGTTGTTGACAAAATATGTTGCCAAAATGATCATTTAAATTATTTTAAGAATAATAATAACAACAACAACAACAACAATAATAATAATAATAATAATAATAATAATAATAATAAATTTAAATATAATTATATCATTATTAATGTTTAGTGAACATTACTTTATTATTCTATATATAGCATAATAAATTGATGAATAATTAAAAATTTTGATATGTTTTATTAATGTTAATAATGTTTATCATAATAATTATAATTATAATAATAATATTTTATAATTACAAATTGTCTATCAAAAAATCTTTATATATTATTAATAATTAAAATAAAATAATTGAAAATAGTTATTGCTATTTTTGTGATTCATATTACTAATACGTTTTCATAGTATGAATACATTTTACCTAAACATAATAAAACTGTTTCACTCTTTGAATTACTTAATATTTGTTTTAACGATAGCAGTGCTTGAGCTTGCAATTAGTTATAATGATGGTCATATTTCCCAGAATAATTTAGAAATTACCATTTCAATCAAATTAATCACCTTGTTTTTTAATTGAAGGAAGAACATGTTCGATGTGTTGCATTTTCTTGTGTGACTCACCAAATCATCTTGTCCATAGTAAACTATCTTTATTATATGTTTTTACCAAAATCTTTCAACTTTATTTGCAATTATGTTTTTCATCATGCATTCTTAATTTGGACCCTAGAGTATGTGTCGGCTCATCATTAGAGTGTCTCAAATCTTGTTTCATCATTAAAATGATCCTTCTTAATCATAAGGATTGGCCATGCTCTTTGAGAAACCTCTGCTGTGGTCCTTAACCCAGACTGCAATCTGTCATGCCAGTGAATCACACCAGCAGATGCTTTAATGCAGCTCATTTCTAGACCTGTAAAATGATTTTCCAGACACTAAAGCACCAGAACCTGCCTGCAGCCTGTTTAATCATAGCAAGACCTTTTATTTGTGCTGAAACTTCTACAGATCAGCAGCAGAAAACATTTATTTCTTCCATCAAAATAAGATTGTTTATTATGTAGATGTGTTGATTATGTATACAATATAGACTACAAATAAACTAACCCAGTTAAGCTGACGTTATATTTACTAATATTGTTTTTCAGTATAACTTGTAAAAATGTAATTTTTCATAGTATTCCCACTTTGCAGAAGTAAAATAGATATGTGAGATACCCATAATATACTATGGGGGAAATAAGTATTGAACACGTCACCATTTTTCTCAGAAAACGTAAAGTCTACACTGTAAACGATTTCTGTTGTTTTCACAGTATTATACTGCATTTCTCAACAGTTTTTTACTGTATAAGCTGTGCACAGTGTGTTACTGTATATATTGTTGTTTTCACAGTATAATAATGTATTTTCAACTTTTCTATACTGTAAACATGGTTAACAGTATGTTACTGTAGATTTTATAATGAATTTTGGGGAAAAATCCGTTACTGTGCATCTAAATACAGTACTGCAAATGACCAAGAACAACTCACACACTATATATTATGATTATTATGTTTATTTATTTTTAGACAAATTATTTTGTGAAGTAAATAACCTAACCAGTTTCTTCAGACTGTTCAGTGCATTAAACTGTCCCCTGGTTTTCCATTTTTGGGTGCACTTTATAAGGCAACATGGAAATATTAAATAATATTTAATAAACATAACTTTGTGCTAAACCAAAACGTAAATTGGAACAAAAATAAATTGATTCACGTAACCAAAGACTGTTAAACAAACAAAATGATTTCAAAGTCAGCTTAAATGTCAGAGTGACCAACCTGCTTTAGACGGATTCAAGAATATTGGGCGCCCATATTGGCCACCGTAGAGGTCACATATCTCCGCATTTTCAAAACAACATTTTAAAATACGCACTATCTTAATAAATAAACCACAGAATTGAGTTTAAAACAACTACATTCTCGCATGAAAAACGGTTAAAACTTTATTTCATAACACATTTATTATCTAGTCATCGAAGACAAGGCATGTCTCAATAATGTCTAGGCCGATTAAAGCATGAGGTTTGCCGGATACATGAGTGATGGAGCGCCGTCAACACCTGGAGGTCAGAATCTCCCCTATCGGCAAAGCACACTTAAAATTAGACATGATATCTAAAAACAAACCACAGATTTGAGTTTGGAAGAACTACATTCTCGCATGAAAAACTGTTAAAACTTCATTTGGTGACATATTAAACGCAATATTTATGATATGATCTGGCTTTTCTCATCCGCCATTACTATTTGCTTGTTGGTGTGAAATGAACCCTGGGAGAAAAAAATATTAATTATCAAAACACTTCAAGCGAACCTTATTCTTATTGTTAAAGTCAGATATATGTAATATTTTCGCTGGTAAAGTGAGAAGAAAAAAACAATATTACTATTTTATCAATACCACGTTTGCACTGGTTCGGTTCAGCACACAAACGACACCGAATCGGATTGAACCGTTTGCTCGGGAATTATTTTATCACACGTGTTCACAAGCACATTTAGCAATATGTGTATACATGTGTGTGGCCGAGCAGTATAACGAAATAGTAATGATTCATTGTTGTGTCTTACAATAATATACAAAAAGGAATCGGTTTTAGGCGGACTCGACTCTTTACTGTTCTAAGGAGCCGATTCATAAAGCCGAGGCGACTCGATTCGACCTTCACCAGGCAAGCAACGGCTCTTCTAATTAGAAATCCACCTGTCGCCTTTTCTTCCAGTGAATTCATCCTCGGTAAGTGTTTAAAAGTCAAATTCTGTTCGTTAAAGGATTGTTTTGTGTATATTTCCGTGTAGTGTTTGTGTAATTTAAAATAATTAACCAAGTTACTTTAGTTGTACTGTAAGTTAGGAACTTATGTCACGTTATTCGACGCCAGACCGTGTTTGTACGTTAGTGTTTGCGAGGTATTAGATAAGGTAATTACAGTGAGTTTATCTTGGGTGAGTTTTTGACCATAGTAACGTTAAGTTACCTGAAAAAAACGTAACTTTTACTTGGGGTTAACTGCATTAATGAATTCTCTATTTCAGCACAACACTGAGATGAAGGCAAAGTCACCATGAAAAGTTAAACGTTTAACGTTAAGGTAAGCTCTGGTCTTCATGTGGTCATTATGACCAAGTTATCATTATGGTTAACGTTAGATTTGTAAACTGTAAGTTAGTTATTCACACTAAACTCACAATGAAACAAGTCTAAACTGTTTTATTAAATTGAGCTGATAATAAAATTCAGTTGATGTCTTTTAAGCTAACGTTAATATTAACATAATTCATATTAATTGTCTATTTCTCACTGGTTAATGAGCTTATTGTATAACGTTATTGTGTCATTAATTGTACATTTTATTTTTGGCGTTCAGGTGTAGGGAATGATTTGTATACAAATTTATTTGAACCCCATACAGATTTGTATGGTTGTACCATAGATTTAGATTATTAAATGTTAAGTCTTATTTTACTCTTATTATATTTATCTTTTTTGCAACTACAGCAATTGATGCTGAAAAACTGATGCTACCAATCTCTCCTCACTTGATTATTCAAGGTAATGTTGATGTCTTCCTCATTTTTATTAGATTTTGAAATGTCAAGTTGTTCACAGATTTGTTGTGAGGAGTTTCATGTACAACCTCTTTTGCTTCTTCCAGAAGCGACGCAGTGGCACAGTAGGTAGTGCTGTCACCTCACAGCAAGAAGGTTGCTGGTTCGAGCCTCGGCTGGGTCAGTTGGCTGAATACAATGGCATAATGATTCTGCTTGCTCACAGGAGGTACTTGATTTAGTTTTCCTCAAGCGATACATCAGTTTTTATGAGTAATGCGTGAC